GAGAAACTGAATAGCATGGCTTTGGACCCAGAAATCTAAATTTTAGAAAGATTTCAGAAATTTAGAAAGAGAATGCAAGTATCCGCATCTCTGTTCCGTGGGTCTAGTCTTTGGAATATGCATTAGGTCATCCTTTAGACTGTTACACTTCCACACAGAGCTGATGATATTTGCCTCCTAAAAATTACAATCAAGGGACCCTTTATGAACTGGCTGTGGGGTTATGTGTCAGTTAGTATCCAATAATTCCTGAGATCTAAACCCAGATCTGTTATCTATTTGTTCCATGGCTCTGAAAGGAGTTGGTAAAAATAGCATCTGGGAGCTCTGTACCGATTGGAATTCAATATTTCAGTCTGGTAGCCTTGGATCTGAAAGTGAAGCATTGGTCTTTTAGCCAGTAAACCATCACAAGTTTCTGGGTCAGCGATAGGGGATGGGCACATACTATATAATTCAGGTGGTGACCTGACTCCCCTAGGTCAGTACTAATTTAGCAAGGCAAGGAGAAAGTGTTATTGAAATCGGTGGGATTATTTGCATGAATAGGTAACTTTACAGGATTTGGCACTTTTTTTAACTTCTTACTGTACAGTCAAACGTGCAGACTAGAGTCACCATGCTGCTGAAAGTTACAGCCTGTAAGGGTTCTTTAGTGTCTGTTTTCAAAGAGGATCTCATTCTCCTGCTCATTTTGCTACAGATCTCATTCTGGACTCTGAGTGGTCTAATCATTATGTCCTATATGACACAAGACCATAAAACCAAAAGGAGGCAAACTTGTTTATGGATGGGTAGATCAGTGTTGTGCCACCAACCGCTGCTAGGTGGCAATATGTTACCTGTAAAATCGCGAGCTACCAGCCACCATCGCTCTCCTCTGCTTCACACCGAGCTGGGACGTGTGTGGGCATCGCTCTACTCAGAAAGAGGACAAGGCCTTGGAGCAGGATTTGGAGAGAGCTGCTTCCCTCACACAGATCTTTAGCTCGGTACTGACATTTTCCAGAAACAAATGCAGGGCTGAATCCTACTGGAAAAATTCTTTGTGAACCCAAGAAGAAAAATAAGAGACAAGCCTGCCTGTTGTATTATTTCTGCACAACACTGGCAGTGTTGTAATAAGGGAATGAATCCTTCTGTTGTAGAAAGATAGCACCGCCTAGGACTAGATTATTTCATATTCTCAATTTGATTAACAATACAAAATGGAAAGTATCCGTTCTACATGCAAAGCTTTTGTTTTTCCAAATATATGATTAATTGAAATCCTCTACATATTCAATCATAATATTTAATCAACTAGACCACCTTTGGGAAATTTGTATGGACAATTGGGTTGAAAAACGGCTTTATTAAAGGTAGAGAAGATGTATTTCCAGACACAACTTTCAGCCATGCTACAAATACTTAACACTGAGTCATCTTATGTATGTATTACGTATTAACAAGGACACTGTTTGAAAGACTGGCTCATATTTGCATATTGCTTTGAATACACAACGCGATCTACATTGAAACAATTTATTTCCCTTGTTCTAGCTGTTGGTGTGACAGCATTTGTTCTTCCAAGAAGGAAAACCAAGGGCAGAGAGGACAGGGCTGTGTACGACAGCGCTATTTTATGCCAGCTGCAAGTTTATACAAAATTACAGCTTGATGCCAGGGTAGGTTGCAGCTGGCTCCGCACTTTGGCCCAGCTGCCAGAGCGTGGGTGCAGGTGAGTGGCACCTGAAGCTGGGGAGGCACAGTGGCCAGGAACACGACAGCTGGAAGGGGCTCACACTTGGGCTGGCAGGTAAAATGGATATACGCGAACGCGGGAAGCCCAAGTCTCGCCTTATGGCGACATGGGTAGGGAACTAACACCTCTCCTGCCTACGGCAACCACCAGGCAGAGCGAGTGGGGTGGGAGGCCGGCGAGCAGCCCCGTCGGTCCAGGCTGGATCCTCCCGGCAGAGATCCATGTCCTAACTAAGGCGACTTACAGCGAGACGTTGTTCAGAGACAGAGGAGAAACAAAGATCTTTAATTACACTGGCTTGGATAGGATAGAAACACAGAGCTTGGTTTTTAGCGATAGAGGCTGCCAGTGCAGGAGGCAACAACAATAACGACGTGCTCAAGTAGCGTTTAGCAGCTTGGGAGCTAACAAGCGCCTTCTGCGGCAAGACTGCTTAAACTTAGGCAGAGTTCTCGGCTTTCTGTAGACACAGTCTACAAACGTGGCATGGAAGAACGCAGACCCTGCCAACCCCAAACCTGCCTCCAACTCCCTGGGGCTCCATCGGTTCTTTAATCCCCTTTGCTGGCCCCGGGGGCAGCCCCGGCACTCGCCCCGCGGCATAGACGGGCGGCGGCGGGCCCGGCACAGAGGCCGCGGCGGCGGTGGTTCCCGGCCGGGCCGCTTTCCCGGCAGCACCGCCCGCCGTGCTCTGCTCCAGTGGCGCCGGGAGGGAGCGGCGGGGCCCGGTCAGTGCCTGGCCGAGCCAGGTCAGTGCCCGCCCGCGGGCTCCACTCTCCAGGCGGAAACAGAGGCTCCTGCGGGACGCCGGGGCAGCTCAGGGCCCCGGGCAGGGTCCGGCGGCGGGGCAGGCGCGGTGTGTCCCGGTCCCCGCGGGCCGCTGGGTGCCCGTGCTGGAGGGGGAGGCCGATGGTGCTTCTGCCTGGGAATGTCCTGTGCTGCGAGCCCCCACGGCCTCCGCCCAGACACCTCGGGTGGCACTTCGGCCCTGCTCAGCACTGAGCTCTTCCTTGACGGTTGATTTAAAATAACTGATTTTGTTTAAAAAAAAAAAAAAAAAGAAGAAGAAGAAAAAAGTAGGCCGCGTCTAGAAAGCTTTCCTCTGTCAGGACAAGTGCTACAGCGCACTGGTCAGGATTTTGGCATTGCACAAGGTCAGCAGCAAGAAACCTCTGCTGGGGAAGGAATTTCTACCCCTTGACCCCTCAAGCCTTCACATTCTTCCCGGGATGATACTATGCAGGGAAGGTGCCTTTGCTTTCCAAAATTTAGCACGTAGAGTCAAAGAAGCCAGTGACAGGCAGTCCTGGTGTGCTTCTGGTTCCCAGTGTTGCTACAGGAGGAGCATGAGAATCGTGCTGCATGGCCAGTTCACATGTCAGGATGTGGTTTTGGTGTTGCTGTTGGCAGGAGCATTTATGGATGGTGGTGGTAAGGAGAGCAAGAGTAAAGAACAGTGTACTTAGTGGAATTCTGAGCACTTCTTGACTGCAAAATTTCTTTACAGTTTTCAGGGCAAATTAATCATTGGGAAAGCATCAGTGTTTGTGATTACAGCTAAAATTGAGTTCATACTTTTATAGGTTAGGATTTGGTGACTGAAAGGCAAATGGTGAGTTGGTTGTGAATGTTTCCATTCCTGTGAAGATGTGCATCTGCTTGTCTTAAAGGGCTCTAAAACACACCTAGTGGGCAGTGAACTTTAAAGTGCTTTCTGTCACTGTTATAGAGGGCCCTGTCTTGACAGGGGTGAAGAGAACCTCTTCAGAGGTTCAAAACATTAAAAATTAAGATTTTTTAATTAAAAATATTAACAAAACATTAAAAAATAAATGGAAAGGCTCCCTTTTTCAGCTGTTTTGCATCCTTGAATGCCATAATTTTTCTGTGGGCTTTGGTATGTTTCTGTGTGATTTGTTGACTACTCTTAAAAATAATTAAAATGTGATTAAAAGAGAATGTAATTGTTTCAGACAGAGAGACAATTCACATCTAAACCCTACCCTGCAGGGATCATTAAAAAATACAAAACTAAGCAAAGAACAAATAATTTGGAAAACCAAATAGCTTGCTATCCCCAGAATTGAGCTGCTCAGAAATAATGAAAATAACAAGGGAAAAAAGAGACAAAAGCAGAAAAGAGTAAGCCAGCTTAAAACTGAAACCACAGACGAGGGGTTTTTACTTACAGTGTTAAAAGGTTTTTGTTCCTACTGTTTATTTCACATGTGCATTATTTGATGCCATTTCAGTTAGTTAATTTGGGCATCTTCTCACTTCTTGTTCTTTCAGCTTCTGGTTGGATAAACTTTGTTTCTAATGCTGTCATCTAGAAACTAGGAGGCCCAAACCTTTTGTTCTCTCAGCAGTAACACAGAGGATAAAAAGTCATCCTGTATAATACCAGCTATTTCTAAAGCCTGTTTTAAGTAACTTCTCACTGAACTGTAGGGACTGTTGATCCTATCCAGTTTGTCTACAGTGTGGGTACCAGAGACAATGTACTGAAAATTTGAACAAGGTTTAGCAAGTTTGAGACCCATGATCACTCCAGAAAGGCATGAGGGATCAGTCCCCTTCCCAGGGAGGAAGAATTTCCTCAGTTCCCCAGCTTTGCTTAGTTTCTGTATTTGTAAGTTATGTTTTGTCAGTAGGATTTCTGCTGATGATCCCTTGGCATACTTAAGATCTAGTCACTGCTTGCTTTCAGCAGTAGGAAAGCCAGCTGGAGAGGCGATTGCCCTCATCTTGCTTCATCTGGTAGTTATGAGAGTGGGGGAACCTGTTGGGTGAGTTGTTTAAGTTAACCTAACCTGTACATCATGGAAGGAAAGCAGTGAGATGCAGAAGTGGATGAGGCAGATGAAGGGCTTTGTGACCTTCAGGTGAGGGGTGGTGACAAGCAACTGGCAACAGAGGAACCCTGCATGAGACCTCCTTCCTACACCTTTTTTGTGTCTGAAGGCAGGGTACAGAGATTCCTCTTCATTATGAGACCTATGTTCTTGTCTTAATTTGCATCCAAGCTGACCCCCTTTGATCTTGCTGGTTTTGAATCTCTTTGTCCAACATTTGAATTTATTTTCTTTTTTTTTTTGTGCCATTATCATTCACTGTCCCAGGTTCCACTCATTCTTAATGACTTTCACTTATTTTTAACCTACTTTTTTTTTTTTTTTTTTTTGTACAAATGCCCTGTTTTCATGCTTTGGTTCTTCATCACTCTGTTTTTTCATCTGCTGTCATGTTGTAGGGTCAGTTGTGCCAGTCCTCAGCACTGGGTCACCACTTGCTTTCCATTCATTTGTCAGTCACTGCAGTGATGTGGTAAAGCATCTGACAGTCATGGTCACTATTACAGATTAATGCCTTCTAAAGTGACTGATAAGACGTGCACACTGGATTGAGTTGTAAATCATCATCATCTTCAGCTCACTTCTTCTGACCTTTCTTCCCTGTCTTCACACTTCTGTGCAGTGAAAATGCAGCTGCCTGAGGACTTCATCAAGTCAATTTGTCCTGTTCTTGACCTGTCAGCTGCCCTTGACACCTTTGGCAGTGTCACAAAAGTGCCTTTCTAGTTGTTTTTGTTATGCTTTTTGAATATTTTCTCCTCCCTGAGATGTCTTTTGTGGATTTTGTCTGTTGAATCCCTTTATTTCTGTTACACTTCATCCACACCCAGAAATTCAGTTGATATCTTATTTATTTCAGTAACTATATCTGCACATCACACCTGTCACGTCCTGCCTCACGTACAAGGGTGCACTTATTTCCCTGATGTATTGAAAACACATCCCTGCATATTTTCTCCCTCTTTTCTTTTTCCCTGACTTGTGTCAGTAATTCAGGCACCATTTTTGAGCTGGGATTTTCCCTGTTCATGTATCTTAACGTGCTGATTTGATTTGCTCTGTAGTGCAGTGTTTCGCGTTTGAGCAGGCAGCTCGAATGCTCGTTTGGTCTCCTGACATTCAGGTCTCTAGTTTGTCTTAGTTCTTCTACCCATCCAGGAAGTTGCTGCCTCCAGCAACTTACCCATTGCTCTGGCCAGCTATCTTTTTGCTCAGTGGCAGTTGCAACTGGCAACACTGCTGGAGGTGACTGTTTGATACAGCATGTTTTAAGAGAATAATTGGGGTTGCAAAAGAGTATTGGTAAATGGCAAGGGCAAATATGCTTGTTCAAGAGTTGGGGCTTACTAATTTCCCAAAGAATCTGCTCAGGTAATATTGATGTTGGTGTTATCCCTGTTAGTACTATTTTTTATTAACATTGTGAGGTCTGACTTTTAAGTAGGCAGTTACAAGACACTTTCGGAAGCACTCTGATACATATGCTTACACAAAAGTACATAGATTGTCTGTACATAGATACATGTATCACTCTTGCATAATGTGTGTCATTCCTTTGTATTGAAGTGCTGACATTCAATAGGTGCTCATATTAACCCACAGTCTGCTAGCCCACAGGCAAGGGTGTTATAAAATCATTTGAGTGCCAAATGGGGTTTAAACTGTTGTTTTATGTAAGAGGTACAGTAACTGTGGAATGAACAACTATTGATGTCAATACTATTGGCTTATATCTTAGTTGTCACCAGTGATACGTAAAGCTGTAGCACTCAAAACATTTGAAAGATGCTAACTAACCACTGTTATTGTCAGATTTTTTTTTTCACTGTAGAAACTGTGCATAAACTGTCTGTGCTAGAGATGTTAATGGGTATAGCGTGTCTGACTTTTTGAAATTAGACTAAGACTCCATTTCTAGAAGTGTATCTAAATGGATGGGATTATGTTAAACTGAAAATCTGAAAATTTTAGTGTTAATAAATGTCTCTTGGCTGGTCCTACAACACTGTAAGTGTTACTGTAACATCTGTCTCTCTCACTTCCTTTCACTTACAATACAAAAAAATTAATCTCAGTCATGCTGTGGATTGCAAGTGCTCTATACTGATTGAAAGCTTGGGTGTTGTTTGTCAGAGATTCAGCAGAGATCTTTTTAATCTGAGAGAGCTCTAGTTTAAATATCATGCTTTTCCTGAATGGTTAGCTCTCTCAACAGCTCTCTCTGAGCTGTTAAAATAATCTTATTTTTATTTAAAAAGGTATTGGGTACTGACCAGTACTGTAAGAGATGGTTTTAAAGAAAATAATTCAATGATAATACCTTGCATGAGTCATTAACCATGAGTCATGATCAGCTGGCAGTGGTGTCCAATTTGTTTTCTAATCCCGTACTTGCTGATGCTCTTTATTACCATAGTGATAATATTAAAGAGCTGTTAATGCATATAACCACGCAGCTGAAAATGACAGGCTCTTTTTTCACTGGAATAAAAGTTCCGTATCTTAAGTCTGTTTTGCTCTGTATATTTCTTGTCATGAGAAATCTAGTAATGTATAAAAGTCATCAAAAAAGTTTGTTGGCAAGAAGTTAGGTTAACAGAACAGCCTTCTCCCCCCCCTTCTTTGCTTTCAAGCCAATCATTGGGGCTTCCTAGAGAATTCCAGTTAGTCTGTTTCTTATGAGGATTGGGGATACTTTGTAGTCATTAAAAGTTGAGAGCAGATTGTTCAAGCTATGCTTTGCAAGGAAAGCCTGCACTATCCATGTATTTAATGTTTGCTCTCTCCTGAGCAAAAACCAGAAGCTGGATGGAAAGTTTTATTGCATCAATGTATGCTGAGGAATGACTACTGAGGTTTTAGAGAAAAGGGAAGGCTGTCTCCCTTCCCAGAGCCTGAATATAAAAAGAATCAATTAGTTGAGAAATGAGCTTTGGAAACCCATTTTCAATCTTTAAATAAAATTTTACTAAGAGAAGTGATTTTAAAAGCTCTGAAAGGTAGTGGCTGAACAGTTGCAGACTATATTAGAATATGCATAGATGGAGAGCGTTTGGGTGTCCAGCAGTTGGGGAACATTATTTATGAAGTAATGAATCTTGTATTCAATTAGATTTCAACTTGATTCAATTTTTGTTAGTTTTATTAGTTTTCACTTTAGAAAAGTTGATTGTTACAGATTAAAACCTTGTGTCTCAACAGATGCTAAAAAAACCATCCCTTAACCTATTCCAGTGTAGATGACCTTATAATGCATATATTTGTGTGGGCCTTTCTTGTTTCTTTGTGGTGAGCTTGTGAGATAGTGTTCTGTTAGTGGGTGCAATGTGGCAGGACAGGCATGAATCTACTGGCATAGATGACTCTTCAAAATTGCTTGGTATTCCTGCATATTCCTTCATATCCCACAGTGTGGTTGCTCTGCAAGCTCCTCCTCCATTTCAATGAGGACTATACCTGCACCAACGAAAGCTTTTTCGAGTTTAGTTTAGAATGGTACAGCCAACGACAAGGTAAGTGTTTACCTGACAGGACTGTTCACTTTTTTCATTAAAAAACACATGCAATTGGCTTATAATGTGCATCTGCTTGTTCATGATTATATAATAAATGTTTTCAAAAATTTGAGTCTGTAAGCTGTAAGATGCCCTGAACAGAGCATAAAATATAGCTGTCACCAAATTCTGTCTCAGTGAATGTGTTTGTGCTGTGGATTCACCTTAAAAAACTTCCCAAGAGCTGCATGCCAATTTTGAAAAAATCTCGTTTCTGCCAAATATAATTAAGAAACAAAGAAGGTCTCTTCCCAGTTATCAAAAAAGTGAGCATCTACCATGTCTTCTGAATGGCTGTGTATATTAAAAAGGGGAAAAGGTAGGACTACTCTAGCAAATTGCAAGATTTAAATACAACAAACCTTTTTCCATGTCCTGTGAGGGTTCTTTTGATTCCCACTCTGAGTGGCTTCTAAGGTGACTTTATTTTCAGAGCAGCTGTTTCCAGTTCAGGCTTTACCCTGTTTCTTTCAAATCACTTATAAACCACTTTGTCCAGTAGACCCTTTTCCAAAGTAAATAAAATAAGGCAGAGATGCTGATCAAGAATAATATAGCTCCTTTCTTATTATTGTCTGATATACAGTCATGCACTGTAGAGTGGAAACAGCAGAGGAATAAGCCATGGGTGTACTGGTACATAGAAATAGTTTACCAATATTATGTACCTGTGTAAAAGGCAAGTGTAATGCTCAATGCATAATACAGTTGTACACTTCTCATCCTTTGGAGTACTGCACAGGATCTGGTGCTCAAGTGAGATCAACTCAAAGTGCTACTGGAATGACTGGGAAAAGCACATAGCTATCAGAGGCTAGCAGACTAAGTAGTTTCAAGATGAAGTGTGATAACTCTGTTAATGGAATTAAGTGACAGGAAACAGACTTCAATATAGGAATGGTCTTCAGTTCTTAATTTTTATGTTCCTCAAGTATTTCTTTTGGGAAGGTCTTGCTGTAATAGTTGCTTACAGAAAAGCAGGAGATCCAGATCCTGAAAACTAGGGGATTTCATAGTATTTTTCCTCCATCGTAGGTGTGGTGTTTGGGGGTTTTGGTATTTCTGGGGGGGAAGGGTGAGGGAGGGATTGGAAGATTAATACAGAGTGAATTGGTCTAGTGGAATACATAAAAGTCTTACTATAGTTCTTGAGCCTCTTTCATGTTCTGTGCACAAATACTTTTTCAGTAATTTTTACAAGAAAACATTTAAAAAGATGCTAATTTCTGGCTTAACTACTAAAATCCATAAAACTCCTTCTGTTAACTTTGTGGGAGTAGATTCAAACTAAGAATTTTGCAAATACAGTCTGCAGTGATTTCTATAGACTTTTAGGATTTCATCACCTTTATATCAGTTTCTACTGTCCTACTTCCCTCTTTGTCAGAGGACTGAAGTGTATTTCAAAGGAAATTTCCTGATTTTTTCCCCCACCCCATGTATTTCCAGAGATGGCCCTTCCTCTGTGGAAGAACTTACTTCAGACTACAAAGGAAAGAATACTACAGCAGAGAAGGTTGTCACTGTATAATGGTGCTCATGGCTATGAGGAAGAATTGATAAAGAAGAAACTTCAACAGTTTGCTGGTGGATCCATCAACCTTTCCAAAGAAGACAATGGCATTGGAATACTTACCTTGAACAACCCGAAGTTAATGAATGCTTTTACAGGTATTAATTAGTTGATGGGATTGCTAGTTGGTTTTGGCTTTTCCCTTGTTCAGTTACCCATTTTAGCATTTTGCCTAAAGAAAGTGAAACACTATGTCTTACCATTTCTTAATTAAAAGAATAAGTGTTTAAGTTTTATTCAGATGTGCAGCAAATGTCCACTGTTCTGTGTAGTAACTTTGCTATAAATGTCATAAGAATCTTAAGAAATTCTTAATGACATTGGGGACTGTTTCACAGAATATGCCTCTCCCCCTTTTTTTAAATGTTAGCACAATTCTGCCACTGTGCTCTTTCTTGTATCTCCTTTCATTTTGTCATCACTGCTCTGGAAACATTGAGGGCATTTTTGTGGGGAGGAGAAGACACCATCTTTGTTATGTAGGTGGTGTGGAAAGACTGAGTTTACTTCTTTATTCTTTACTTATATATATATATATATATATATATATATATATATATATACACATACTTTATTTCCCTGTAACTTAAACTTCTGTAGTTTGGTCTTTTTCACTCACTCAAACTGGCTTCCATTTCTTCTTCGTTTGCCTTATGTCATAAATATTAATGACTGGTTAATTAAAGATCAGATGAGCTGGGTATTCTCAGCTGTTATGGGTCAGTGATCTATTTAATATACTTATCTATTAAAACCAATTGCCCTATTTTATTAATCTTGTATTGTGAGAGAGGTTTTTGTTCTCCAAGATAAATATATTTGCTGTCTCTCCTTAACTGTCTAGAATATTCCAATTTATGTCGTTCTCTTCAGACATGAGTGGCACAGGTTCAGGGTCTGAATCTGCTTTAGCTGGAGCTGTGCAGAAACCTCTTAATATTTTGAAATGGATAAATTTGTGTCATCTTGTTAATTTCTTTTTTGCTGTTCTGTTTTCCTTCCCAAGTCTCACAACTCCTTTGCTGCGAGCAAGTACATTTGCAACACTAACAAAGTGTAGAGCCGCTTGCCTTTCAACTAATGATTGTTAGCTGAAAGGAACCTAACAGAGCAACAGAATTGGTGGTTATGCCCCTAGATGTGTCTGCATTCTTTTGTTTCCCTTCGAAAGCTCATGTATAAAATCATTACCTAACTTGAGAACTTGTAGCTTAAAGATGTTAGCATAGGGATTGTCCTTCTGAATGCCTCCCTGTCAGCATTCATGCTGTTATACAATCATAATTACATTGTAGTTTCCTCTTTTACTGCAGATTGGTTTCTGGTTTTGACTCAAAACAGAACTGTGTAATCTGCACTTTGTAGACTGTGTTCTCTTAGCTTATTTGTTGTGGAAGTTGAAGGGGGCATGAGAAATGAGATGTAATAGCAAAAGGAGAAAAACAGATAAAGCCCAGTCTGCTATGGAGATCAGGTGTAATGAAAGTCAAATTGCTTAAACTAAACTTTAATAGAAACTTGCAACTGTTTTCTGTGTGCTTGGCAGAAGGGGCTCAGAATTGATATGTTGAAGTGCTGAGCAGGTGCAGCTGCCATTTAGGCAACTGATAGCTGTTCTTTGCCTACACAATGTTCTATATAATGTTAATGCACTGAAATCATATCACACATCTTGAGCACCCAAATTAGCAGATATTTTCTCTCTGGCTCAGTTAGTGGTCTGTAAAATAATCTCTTCTCTCCTTATAGACTGCTGTGAAAATAACGTATTAGTGTATGTGAATTAGATGCTGTAGTAGCAAAGAGGACCTACAAAAACTGCTGAGAAAATGAATAGTTTTGTCTTTGTCGCAGACCCTAATTAGCATATGACAAATGAGCCATGGGATCAGGCAGTTCTGGTTTACAGCAGTGTGTAGAGCCCCGTAGAGAGCAGTACTCCATTCTGCTAGATAGTAGCCACAAAGTTGCTCTGGAAAATCTTACTATGGCAGTTCAAGAGATACTGCTTCTTTCTGCTGTACACCTCTGCTAGAGACTTTCGTTGTAACAGGAGGGACAGCAGAAGCAAAATCAGGCTGGCCCCTTGGCCGCTGCAGTTAATGGTATGGCATCTTAATTTATCTTGCTCTTCATTTCGCTTTAACATTACTGTCTGTAAACTGTAGTTGCTGACGGACAACCAAGAACCTGATCCTGTTCCTTCTGTTGTCTATCAAATAATACTCTTCAAGGAGCAGAATGGGATGCTCAGCCCCTAAATTGCCCCAGCAGGACATGGTTGATTTCATCAGCCAGAACCTGTAGATCTGCTGACCCACCCTGCTCCGCACCGCAAATAAATTCTGTTGATTCTGTGTCTCCGAGCTTCTGAATAATGGTAGATGTGAATTTATGTATACATGTATGCTTCCTTTAGAAAGCCGCAAAATATTATTAAACTGTTGAGGGAGATTCTTTTTTCCAGGCATTTACTTTACACAGCAGTTTTTTATCTCGAAGGAATTATGTTTATTCTAAGCTTGAGCAACTCATGAAATCAAAACCAGAACAAAATTGTTGGCAAATTGCTAATGGGCAATATGGAGGTTGTTATGCCTTTTTTCTCTTCTTAATTGGAATCTGATAGCCACGTGTTTGAAATGGTCTCTTTGGAAACAAATGGTAATGTCAGTCTAAGCCTGGTGGAACCAATTTCAGCAGCCCAACCAATCACTGAACTAAACTTGAATGTAATTTAAAAGAGAAGAAAGCCAGCCTGTAGGAATTAGATAATAATGATGATAATGTTATTTTCTAGAATTTACTTTAAAACACTTATTCTCAGATTATAGTTAAGATGCAAACAAATTATTATTCCAAATAGATTTAGTTCTCTGAAGAGTATGAGCTTAGTGGTATCAAATACTGAAAGACAAGACTGGCTGAATGAGGATTTGCTTTAGTGTTGTGTCCTCATCATTATATCAAACATCATGGACTATATCTGTTGGTAAAATAATAGTTCAGTGTTGTCAGGAATGGAAGGAATTCTGTGCCAGGAGAATGGGACAGGCTCTGGCCAGTGTCTCTTGTTCTGAGCTATTGCACGTAAAGGGCTCATACAGTTCCTTCATTTTTTCAGTTAACTAAATTTTTGGCTTGGAATACTGTGTGGAAAGACTCTTCAATACCTCACTGCTTTGTCTATTAAAAGAACCACAAACAGTGTTTGTGCTGTATTTGACACTAGCAAAGCTTGGATGCCAGCCCAAATACCTTTCTAGTAAGAAGGCTTGTCAAATAAGCAATGAGTGAAAGCCACAGGGTTAATGCACGCATATTTGAACAGCATTTGCAGAAAAGTTGCTGAGTGCACCGTCAGTCTGGAAAAGCATTTCAAATGAAGACCCACAAAAATCTCATCTAGGCCTAATTCTGCTCAGTATTTTCATTCATGGCTCAGATGATAAAATAGAAGGTGAAGTCCTGAAATTTTCAGATGACCCCAAATTGGGAGAGCTTGCTGCTAAGATCTGTTATTAAAATTATTAGAGAGAGGCCTCTGCCCGAATTAAGGTGCAGATGACACCATATGCTGAAATCAATAGTCCAGGTTTATTTAACAGTAAATGTGAGATAGAGAGAAAGAGATAGAAAGAAATAGAAAAGAGAAAGACGGGGGGGGGAGAGAAAGAGACTGACAGAAAGACAGATTAAGTAGAAAATACCACCTGTCTGTGGGGGAGGTTTACAACTGAGCCAGTTTGTGCAAGGGAGGATGGGTTTTTACTCCCTCTGTCTTAAGCGGAGAGGTTTCGCCATCACAGATCCAAAAACTCTCCTCCCCCCCCCCGAGCTGATTTTCAACACAGCTGCTGAGTTTGGATTTACATTCTTCTCCCCACCCTTGTTTACTTCTTCTCAGACCTGGGATGATTTGGACCACCTTTATCTTACCTCAAGTTCCTATCAGGGGGAACAGTCCAATTCCCTGAAATCCAGGAGGCATATTCTGGCAGGAAGTGGGCTTCAATGGTCATCTTTGCAATTTGCTACAGTGGGCAAAAGTCCTTCTTAACAATGTTTAAGTCATTAGTCATAACGTTTTGGTCTCTCACACTTGCAAGATTATTCTTTGGAGCAGAGGTGTGGCATTCAAAGTGATCTTGCTACAAAGAGCTCAAGATAAACAAGGTTAAATTCATTGAAAGCAAATGTAATGTGCTGCACACAAAAAGCATTGCCAAATTATAAATACAGAAGGGAAAGGAACTGGCAAAACTGTAGGGATTTGTTAGAGGATCATAGTCTGGATTTGATGGTAGGTAAAAAACCCAGTGTCATTCTGGTATATAATATGTAATGTCCACTTAATTATTGACCTCCTCAGATACATTGTCAAAATGTACTATTTCAGTGGCTGAGACCAAGCCTAAGGGGGAAGTGCTTGACTAAGTGTTCACTCTTGATCTGGTGCTGGGAAGCTTACTTCATGAGGAAGTGCAAGAAAAACAAACAGGGAGGAAAATTAAATCTCCCATGGGTTGGCTGCTAACAGGCATTTTCAGAACAGAACGAGTCCTGTGCATGCAGGTGTAGAGTTAAAAAAGCAACACTGTTGGCAGAGGAGAGCTCTTGATAGTATTAATCAAAAGCACGTTTTTGTCTGAAGAAGGTAGGCCTGTCCATCTAAATTCTTGTCAAAGGAGTGTAAAGCTGAGTGTAATCAGCCTGTATGTAGCTTGCTTTCTGGAATTAGTTTCTGTAAATGTTTTCTCTTAAGAATATAATTGGACAGAGTCATAGGCATTTAGAGAGGAAGAGCTTTAAGTGAATGTAGGGTAAGCTCCATTGGTGTGGAAAATGCCACAGTCTAGGATGAGCTTTAGGAACAGGAGTTTGTAGAGTTCCCTGTCAGGAAGGGTACTTAAGTGAATATATGAGAATATGGTGTTTAAGCTAGAAATAAAAAGCTAGTACAATGACATACTTTGTAAAGGGAGGCTTTCTATAAAGGTTCCAGCTAGGGAATGAAAAACATTTTAGAAAGTTGGGGGTTTTTTAAATCTAAAAGGCACTTTGCTCCTATTTTCAAATATATCTTTATTTTCTTTTGGATGGATACTTCTAAATGTCTTTGGCCTCCAACACAGTTTGGCCTTTTTTAGGAATCTTTGTTAACATTAACTGGTTATACCTTGAGCCCACCTTGCACATGGTTCTTTTCTGTTCTCTGCCAATTCTTTGAGCAGGGTGAAATGGCAGTAACTTCAAAATAACTGATCTGTCCAGTGGGACAGATCTGGATGGAAAGAAATAAGTTCATGTGTCCGGAATGTATACAATTGCAAACAGGAATAAATCAATTAGAGAGGGGGTTTTTGTTTGCTTGTTTGTTTTGTTTTTGCTTTATTTTTTTGTTGGTTATTTTGTTTTGGGGTTTTTTTTGAGTGGAACACAAATATTGTTCATGCAGAACATCCTTCAGAATTTCAGGAAGTGCACCCTTGAAGAAAAAGTGTATGTTGGTGCTTGTGTGCAGGACTTAGGATGGTACTTTCCCATGTGGTTTTAAGCCTATCACTTATTAATTCTGATTTGGTTTTATTGGTGGAAAATGTAACACAAAAAATGATTGTGATAATAATTTCCTGTTAAAAATTTTGCTTCTCCCCACTTTTGACAGGTACCATGATGGTAGAACTCCAGGAGAGGATAACTGAACTGGAAAACTGGAAGGATGGCAAAGGCCTTATCGTCTATGGTGCAGGAAACACATTTTGCTCAGGATCAGATTTGAATGCTGTCAAAGAAATATCCAACTCCCAGGCAAGTATTAATACACATTACGGTTTTGGAGAAAAATGAGCTTTCTGAGATTCTTTTTAAACAGAGGAGTTGCACTACAATTCTGCTGCAATTTTACATGCCACAGAATGGAGCTTTTAATGCTTGAAAAAACGCTAGCAGCCCCTTTAAGGTGTGACTTAAATGTTATTGTAATTGATTCATAACTGTAAATTCCTACATATTCTTTTTAATCTTTTCTTTTAAAAATGTCATTTCAGTTTCTCAGAGCAGTATATCGTGAATTTACACATCAGATAAGCAGTGCTTCTGTAGTTTGATATTTCAAGTAATAATTTTTCATATACTCTAAAGTAAAAAAGCAAATTTAAGTGGCATGGCTGCTATTACAGAAAGGTTTCTGTTTTGTCAAAACTGTGCTTGGAACTGCATAAAATGGAAGGACAGATGCAATTCTTGTGCTGTACTAGAGTCAGGTAAGTTTTGTGTGTAACTATGGGGTTGAAGAGGTTAGGGGTTTGATGGCAATTTTTTGCTCATGTCACTTGTTTGGCAACTTTCACATGGCTTTAATAAAATATGGAACAGCATTTGCTGTCCTTTAGTCTTACAGAACTCTTCTGTCTAGATTGCTGCAGGTGAGAGAGTTTTTTGTGGTTTCAGGTTAAGTTTTCTGTCCACAGGCATCTCTAAGGAAAAAAAATAGTTAATAGCTTCATGCCTTGAACTGGTATATTTTTCTTTTTTTTTCTTTTTTTTTTTTTCTTTTTTTGCAAGGCTGCTTTAGCCTATAGCTTTTACTAATTGCAGAAAACACTTTTGTTCAACCAGTTGGTTGAGGGAAGATTGTATTTTTCATGATTTTAAATCCAGTTTGCTTTTCCTTGTGGTGCAGGATAGGCAGAATGATGGCCTAGAATGCTGAAGGATTTTCATGCCCCCTAGTGGCTCTTCATCCTCCTCTTCCTCTTTATTCTGTTCCTCTCTTTGTCCACCTTCTCGCATGTTCAGTTGTTTCTAACTGTGAAACAATACCTCAGGTCCCCTGCCTGTTCTTCTTTGCAGACTTGCTAACATTATGTAACCAAATCACAGAAGGCAAATGAGCAGTGGAATTAAAAGAAAAAAATATTTTTCTTTCTGTTTTCGTAAGCCTGGTTCCCAAGAGTGAGAACCTCATTCTGGAGTGAGACTTGAAAAGCTGGCTACCCGAAAAGCAGGAGTGGCTCTTGAAAGGACAGATGAGAGGAAGAAGGCACAAAGGAGAATTTTGCTTTCCTTGGTCCTAGTCTAGAAGCCCTAGGACAGAGGTTCCCAAGAAGTAAGCCGTGGAGGGAGGACTTTGGAGCAGTTGGAGATAATCTGGAAATACTGTTCCGTCTGTCACAAAAGTGGACTGTAAGCTCCTGCAGCAATAAGAGCCAGTGTTACAGTTTTCTACTTTATGAAGGTGACTTTCTTCTTCCCTGTCTCCCCTAGCCCCACCGCAAGCTATTAATCCTTTTCTTCCATATGTAGTGCATACTGTATTTTACCTCCCTTTCTGCGTATTAGATTTCTTCTTACTTCAAGGACAGTATTAGAACTGAAAATGTAATTATTCCGGTAGACTGCAACAAATATCTCTTTAAGTATTTTATCTGAATAGTAGCCTTATTTTTCTTATCAGTGTATTGGGTTGACCCTGGCCAGATACCAGGTACCCACTAAAGCCGCTCTCTCACTCTCCCTCTGCAACTGGACAGAGGAGAGAGAAAAAAAACAGCTAAGATTTCATGAGTAGAGATAAGAGCTGGGAGAGCTCACTTACTGATTACCTTCACGGGCAAAACGAGACTCAAAGTGGGGATAGTACTTATATTTATTACTAACAGGATAAGAGCCAAAGAGTGAGAAATAAAACAATCTTAAAAAACACCTTCCCCTCACCCCTTCTTCCTTCCATGTTCTCCCTCCTCCACCCAGTGGTGCCAGGGGACAGGGAATGGGGATTATGGTCAGTTGTTGTTTCTGCTGCTGCTGCTGAGAGAGAGGAGTCCTTCCCCTGCTCCCCTGAGGTCCCTCCCATGGGAGACAGTCCTTGATGGACTTCTTTAGCCTGAGTCCATCCCTCGGGCAGCAGTTCTTCCCAAACTGCTGTCCTGTGGGTCACTCCTCCATGGGGTGCAGTGCTTCATGAAATAACTGTACTGACGCGGGTTCCCCACAGGGGCCACAAGTCCTACCCAGAAAAAACCTGCTGCAGCGTGGGCTTCCCTCTCCACGGGCCGCAGGTCTCTGGCAGGACCCGACTCTATCCTGGGCCTCCCACGGGGTCACAGCCTCCTTCATGCATCCACTTACTCCATGGGCTGCAGGTGGGTCTCTGCACCCCGATGGTTTTCCATGGGCTGCAGGGGGACAACCTGCTTCAGCATGGTCTGCACCACGGGCTGCAGGGACCACAGCTCCAGTGCCTGGAGCACCACCTCCTTCTCCTTTTGCACTGACCTTGATGTCTACATTGTTATTCCAATGTTCTCACTCCGCTCTTCCCTGGCTGGAATTTCTTCTGCGCAACAATCTTTTGTTCCTAAATGCGTTATCACAGAGGTGTTACTGTTACTTCTAATTGGCTCGGCCTTGGCCAGCGGCAGGAAGTCTGCCCTGGAGCTGGCTGGCATTGGCTCCACGGGACAGGGGAAGCTTCTAGCAACTTCTAACAGAAGCCACCCCTGTAGCCCCCCTGCTACCAAAACCCAGCCACAGAAACCCAGTCAGGAAGTCTTGAAGGGTTTATTGGCCAGGACTCAAGCAATTGATTTATTTTTTTTCAGAGTGTTTTCTGTGTGGGCGTTTTTTCTATGGGTTACACAGTAATCTCTACCACCTGAGAGTATGAAGACCTTTTGTCTGCTCAGTCATAATTGCATTTATTAAGCTGGTCTGTTCTGGAATTAATCTTTAATCACCATTTTGGATTTCAACATGAGTTGAGAGGGCCAGTTTCAATGCAAGGACTCTACTGTGATGAAGTGAGTTATAGTATGGGACAGTTATAGTATGGGAATGGTGCAAGTCTGTGTCTGAGAACTGATACCTTGTATGTTTGTGTGGGTTTTGAACTTAGCTATTAAAATAGCTGTCATGAAGGATTTGAATGTTCTTTAATTTAGAATGGAGATATTGCTACTGTTCTTAATGGGTGTAGGAGATGACTAGAGTCATAACTAAAAGCCTCTTTGTAGATCAACATGTACTGAAATTTTCAAGCAGACCTTTAGTGTAATAAAACTGAATTCACTAGTTCTTGTATAGCGATTGTTGTGGCAGCTTATATCTGCCAGACATCTGTGCCTAAACACCATAATGCTGGTTGGCGTTGGGCAGAATAGCACCTGAAATTGGCCTACTATTATTTCAAGGTCCTCTTCTAAAGATGTACTGGAGACTTACTGGGTATCTTTTGTTTTCCTGGAGCATGAGTCAGAAGCTTTTAATTCTTTAACTTGCCAAACCCTGTTGTTTTAGAAATTATTAAATTCCAATAAAGAAATGTTTATTGGTTTTGGTTTGTTTGGATTTTTTTATTTTTAATTATGATTTAAAAGACATGCTGAAATTGTTACCTACTGGGTTTTTTATTTCTACAGTGTCCAAACGTAATTTTTTTTTTTTAATTTGTGGTAAATGGTATGTGTAGTTCAATTCAGTATGTATATGAACACGGTGATACTGAGTCATTTAACCTAGTTATTTGTCAAGTTCCTGGTTAATAATAGATGTCTGAGAAAGAGTGTAATAACAGGGAGGGCAGATAGATAATGATTTAGCTTTAAAAAATTCTTTTAGTCCCCAGCAACTTGTGACTAAGACTTCTAGAGCTAGAGGTGTTACCTTCTATGTAATAACCTTTTGCCGCTTTTTCTGTCGTGAGTTTATCTAGTTGTTCTCAAATTCATGTAGAGGATGTAATGCCCTGCTGCCAAGTTTTCCACATTTTAATTACATGTTGTAGGAAGAAATATTTGATTTGAACGTAGCAGCAACTTACTTTATTTGGAGCCCTTTAGTTCTTGTGTGGATTAGATGGGAACAATTGTACCTTATTGACTATTGGTTACAAGGTGAACTAAAACATAAAGGATGAAATAAGAAGAGTCTTTCTTTTGCAATTACTTTAATGGTGGCTTAATTATAACTGAAGTTTATATAAGTTGATTGAGGTCTGATTTTATTTTTTTGACCTGATTTATACTGAGTTTTTTATTTGCGCGTAGAAGGGTTAGACTGGAATTTGAGCAAGATGAACCAAAGAGAAAAAACCCAGCTAAAGTAAATATAAAGAATACTTACTCCTGTCTTCTCCATCTGTGTGTTTAATTGCTTCATATTAAGATCACTTAATGTTTTTTAATTTCCTGTTCTTTGTAGGATGGGATGGATATGTGCATGTTTATGCAAAACACCTTAACCAGACTTATGAGGTAATATATTTTATTTACCCTTCTTTATGAAGTAATTATAAGTATTGGAATGTATTTTAGCTAACTCTTTAATGAGATGTTTAAAGTTTAATACATAGTTTTAAGTATGTAATTTTGAATCCCAGACCTTGCATTGACACATGTTAATCAGGTAGGTATTTATGGATTAAAATTAGACCTTGAAATTTTGCAACTATTAGACTTTCCAAAGATCAGAACAGGAAAAACCGACCTAGGCTTACATGTGTAGAGCTAGGAGATACCTAGAGTTAAGGAAATCTAGGCCTTCAAATTTTCAGAAACTGACTTCTATAACTCTGTGAAAGTTGGTAGCTCTTAAATAACAAGCAGAGACAGCTTATGCAGCCTACACAGGTAACGTTTGTTTGATATATCTGTTTAATCTTCCCACTTCATAAGAGGAATGTATTCAGTTCTACCATCTGGCACTTCTGAAAACCACTTTTTCCGTTCCTTCAAATTTAGATTCCCTTAATCTATTAAATCCATTAGTGCTAAAGTCTGTGTTTTTTCTGCTCAGCACTCTTTGAAGATAAATACTCTTTGTTTTGAAATATTCTTTCTTTTCAAATAATCTATATGAGAAAGTGTTGTGAATTAACGTTTTTTTCTGTAAAATTGCCCAGGAGACTTATAGTAGTAGTACTGTAAGGAATCCTCAGAATTGGAATCCATTTGAGTCTCCATATAATCAAAATGGATGGGGCAAAGCAGAGGAGGAAGATGTGTGAAGATTAACCCCCCCACACCTCAGGTGTGTTGACTTAGCAGACATTGAAGCAGTGTTTCAGGGGGAGCAGTGAGCTGCTGTCTGGGGACATCTGTTGTAGATGGGGTTAGTCTCCCTCAGAAAGAGCTGATGCTGACTGTGATCCTGAAAGAGGTGCCTTGAATGGATCAAAGTGTGGATGTAGGGGTCTTGGACCCATGTCTTCTGGTTTCTCATAAACCACAGGAAAAATGAGGCTGCCCTCTTCCAGTGGGTTCACGTGCCATGTATTGTATGAAGTGTGCTGCAGCTTGTAAGTGAACTTGGGCCAAAAGAAAGTGTTGGTGCTTCTGTTAAAGTAGAACTAAAACCAAACATGTGGTCATGATTGGGAAGCTGACTTTTGAATGTGGTTTGAAAACTACTCAATAAGTTAAATGTTTCTTCGTAATAAAAGATGAAACAGCTGTATCAGCATGCAAATTCTGTGACTAACCAGCTGTCTTCATTTCTTAGGGAAGGTGGCTTATCCAATGTCACTGTTCATTAGTATTCATTTCACAATGGCAGTAGGGAAACATACTCTTCCTTCCCTCTGTTCTTTGAATTACCTTGAACATGATTAAATACCTTGAGCATGATTAAATACAACACCAACAAAGGTAACAGATTGCTGCTTTCCTTAAATGGTTTTGTTCTCAAAAAAAAAAAAAAAGAAAAAAGGTTTTGTTGATAACTGAGATAGTAGCACTCTGAAGAAGTTGCTGAGGCTGTCATGGTAAATCTCATTATTTTTAGATAATGCAGCCCTTCAGTCCTTTGTATCCCTTTCTGCTGCTTTCTGTAGTGTACTGGCATAAAGTAGAATCTTGTGTTGCTGTCCTGTCGCTCCTCCTTGCAGATAGTCTTTTTAGGTATAATCTATAGCAGGTATGTTTCATAACGTGTTTTTTCAGTACGTGATCCTTGTTTTGATTCCATTTGATATCTCTGTCTTGCTGTTTAATTTTGGGATTCCATATCAATTATGCAATAGTAATTTTGAAATAAGCGGAATTGGTATTGTGCTGCTTACCCACAAAGATGTTGTTATTTGAATGAATTGGAACAATATATTTTTCTAAACTTTTACTATAGAGATGGTTTGGTTGACTTGCTTTCTAATTTTTAAAAGACTAAAAACTTGAATTTTTCTTGTGTAGGTTACCTTTGATCAGTGTTGCACTAGTCCAAGGAAAAGCTTTTGGAGGAGGAGCAGAACTTACCACAGCATGTGATTTCAGGTAAGACTAACAATTTGAGTAGCTGTTACATTGGGTCAGTGATTTAATGACTGTCCATGTGAAATGTGGAAAGCTTGAGGTACTGCTTTTACCAAGAGTCATGTCCCTGGGTTCCAAGGCATTGGAACTAGACTTTGTCAGCAGGCTTCACAGGAAAGTGCATGTCCTGATAGTACAGAGGAAAGATTATTTACTGCCAGGTTATACAGTTTGAATCACTATGTAAAACAAGAGCAGTAAGCAATTTTAGTAACCAGCTGTGTTATACAGCAAGTAGGTCCAACTCACCCCAGAGTGACAGGTAGGAGGGCGGCAAAATTATGTATCTCCCTGTGTCTCTTTATGTGAATGTCGTAAGTCAAAAATAAATAAATAAATCTCTTAATTAATCTGATATTTTGTGTTCTGGGTTTATTATTTGTAATGTAACTATGTGCTCTACAGTTCTTGAAACAAGAGTTTGAGATACAGGGGAAAGCAAAAACATCCCTGGTTTTTTTCCATGCAGGTGCAGGGATTTGCCAGCATGAAACAACTAGTGAAAAACAAAGGGTTTTAGTTAAAGAGGCAGAATGGGAATGGGAAGAAACTAAAATAATAAAATGTTGCTTTATATAAACCATTGCTAATGTGCAAATAGCCTAGAGATGTAACAGGATAAGCACTGTGGGCAGCCTCTCTGAAAATGAGGAGCTTTTAGTGAAGTTTTTATATAAGAGAAGGAAATGTGCTCTTTAAGAGGGCCTTAGTGCCTGAAGTGGGAAAGGAATTATCCAGAACAAGCTGAAAGTAGGTACATTCAAAAGCAATACTAAGCAAAGTAAACTAGAATATTACAGTGCTGTGCCAGATATCAGGAACAGTCTTTGAATAGAGGAGATGGTATCTGCACTGTCTGAGCCACTCGGAAGCAATCTTCCTTTGCTTTGAAAGTAGATGTGGCTGGATCTTTCTTCTTATCTACTCAGCACATGGTGAGCTGAAACCCCAGCTCTGACTGTGAGTACAGGCTGTATTACAAATGCCTGGGAAACATGCAGAGAGGCTCTGTGTTTGACAGCTGCAGCACTGACAGGAGAATGCACCTGGGAGACTCAGTAGACCTTTCTGTATTTGTGAGCCCGTTGACAGAATGTGTGTCTTGTTATCCCTAAATAGGAGTTTAGGGAACGTGAACATAATGAAATGCAAATCTTTTGGCTTTCTAAAATATGTAGTCTCTACTTCTCTACTTATACTCCAGCTATGCTGTTTTGACATACTGTGTAATTATAGGCATTGTCAAGTAGCTCTTATTTGCATGAATTGAGCAGCTGCAATTCCTCTCATGTACTGCCATAATTTTCATAATAACTACAGCTGTTGATCCATCTTCCATTACTTTCTAACACACCCATCTAGTGCAACTAAATAACAGCAATTCAGGAACAGTAAGTGGGACTTAATTAATAACAGCAACAAGATAGAGAAACATACTCTGTGCTGTTATTGCTCCTGAATTTGAGAATTTTAATACTGGGGGGAAAAATTCCTGGGGTTTTTTTTGAGAACCATAAGTAGATATTAGTGGAACAGGTGTTTTATCCTGAGTCACTAAATGCCAAAAGAGGAACTTGAGACAGAAATCAGAGAGGTTCGTTTTCTTCCTTGAATGAGCTGTTTGGACATTTTATTTTTTAAGAACAAAATGAGTTTGTTGTGGCTGCTTTTAATTCTAAATTTTTAAATACAGTTCTATTTTCCACAGTTACTGTGTAAGCTACCAAACTGCTTGGTTTTGGCCTGAAATATTTTCGGATTTTTAATGTCTGCCCCTTTGTACTACATTAACTATACTGATACTGTTGAAGCAACTTGAACCAAAATGACCTCTGTATCTCCTCTGAAAAGTGCTCTGGCAGCACGATGCACATCTCTACTAAAGTAGAGGTGTGGACAAACCCAATTTTAAAATAGCTGAGGTAGTTTAAGATATTACTGATACATTCTTCCTGTAGCAGTTCTTGTGGCTAATTGTCTCACTGTGATTTAAGCCGGCTCATTTTAAATTGGATTAGGGAGGGCTTGTGTGAACTTTGGCACATTTATTGCTGACATAAGGACAATAATGAAAAGTGAAAGCAGCTTAGATCAGTCCACTTTGGATCTGGAGGAAGAGGTCTTTTCAAAACATCTTCTTCAGTCTTAGATGCTTTATGGATTGTTGCATCATGACTCTTCAGAAGAGCGGCATCCTCATAAAGATCATAAACATGTTATTGGGGGAAAAAGAAATCAGATAAGCGCAGACGAGCAAGGTAATTAAAGTCCTTTCAAAAATTTTTTTGAAAGATAAGGCTTCTGACACTATAGTTATTTATTTCGATTATTACTGTAAAACTGAGCAATGCAGAACTTGTTCGGACAACTGAGCTTTTTAGTACTGCTTCAAGAAATATTGACTTTTTTCAGTGTACCACAGTTGAGCCTGTGAAGGTGGTTTGTGAGTTCTGCTGCCTAATGTTAATGTATCTTGTGGTTCTGCATAACACTGCAGCCATTTCAGGTGCACAAATTAATCTGATACTGGATTCAGTGATGCGATTTTACAAATAATTGAAGCACCTGCATGGTTTCCCTATATGCAGAAACTTGAAGTACTGTACTTACATAGTGTGCGAAGGTAAGGAGAACTGATTTGGCAGGGTTAGTTGAGAAATTTGGACAGGAAAACAGGAATGATAGTGGACTGTTGGGCAATAAGCTACAGATATGGGGAAGAGACAGTCGGTAAAGAATCCATTCGTGCAATTAGTAGATCGCAATAATCTCTGAGCACAGTAGCTGCAGTGCACTATCAACCAGTAGCCAGAATAACTGACTTTGAATTCTGAGCTATCTTGTCTTTATGTCACATTAGTGCCTTTGAGAAATCTTGCTCAGGCAAGAGCAAGACTTGTGTAAGTCTTTTAGACACATCAACAACTTTGACAAGTTTGTCCTATGTCACTTGGCAAATGGACTTCCATTGTACCTGAGTGCTTCTGAAACATATAGTCTCTTTCCCCCTACCCCCTCTTTCCTCCCTAACGCTGCAGCAAAGTAGAGGTGTGTTACCGCCGTGTCAATCAAATTTAAAAGGTGGTGTCTCAAGGCAGAGGATGAGATTGCAATGATAGAAAGCTGCCCATTTCTCTCACCACTGACTTCATAATGGGCTCGTAGGTAGAGACAGCAGTATTTGCCTTTTCTTCTTTAGAAAATAAATTAACGAACTGTAATTTCTTCAGCTGTAGTTGATTTTGCACAATTAAATTGCAAAGGGCCAGTTTTATTACTCTGGAACTGCTGAGTTAATTATTAGCTTATGCTAATAACACTGTTTATATAAAATTGGCCTTCCTGCATTTTAGTTGTGTGTTTTCTATATTCTTGGGAAATATGTAGGCATGATTATTATTACATTTTAAGGTGTTAGGCATGTTCCATGAAACACCTAGAAGAGATACATGAAACAATAGCTTTGGTGTGTGTCTTCCTGTGATAACATGTTTATTTACTTTTACAAATATGTGTTTAGTGCATTAAATGCCATTTTTAGGAAATGAAAGGAGCAGAAGTTAATATAACTGCTGCATAGATGTAGGCTCACTATGACCAACTTTTCAGTTGTTTCACCTTTCAAGAAGGAGGAATGGGGGAAACTAAAGATTTTAGTATTCTATATTTCGCTCTGTGCAAGGATTTGGGCTTTTAGTTTTATCAGGATGAGCATTTAGGTGCACAATATGCTGCTGCTTGAAATAAGAGCACCTCAGTACACAGTAGCATTTTTCACTGGGCAGAGCATGATATGAGTGTAATGGGATGGGGTTCACATATTCGTTAAGTTCTTGCAAAGTTCAGGCTCACAAAGCACTTTTCATTCATGTGACTCTGTAATGTTGCTACACATCATCACGAGAAGAATCAGTAGCCAAATCTGAGAGTGAGTTCCCTATAGAAGCCTGAAAGATAAGCGGGCTAATGTGTACGTCTCAAACACTGATAGCTGGATAGCCATGGAGCCAACAAAGGATTGTTGGTAATAACAGCAATGGATTGTTGGTAATAATACACTGTGAGAAAGAACAGGACGTGGCTGGAGAAGGGGGACATATGGAGGTAGGGGAGCACTTTTCTGGGACAAACATCTTTGTTCGAGCTTCTGGAGCTCAGCGCAACACAGTACAGTGCAAGCACAGGAATGAGGTTGAGCAGTGGGCATGCACTGTGGGGAGGGAACAAGACCACCAAAGACCTCCCAAAGCCCTCCAACCCATTTCCAGAAAGGTCTAGAAGAGTGGAATGAGCATGGTAACTAATTGGCATAAAAAGCAAGAAGCTTATCTCCAGGATGGGGGAAAACTTATCTATATAAAGGTACCACCACAAAGCCTGGGTGCATGTGCGCTCCAGGACCCTGGACACCCCTGCTGGATCAATGCTGGAGCCAGGACCTGTGATCTCTCTTTTTCTCTCTTTCTTCCTTTATTTCTCTCTATTCCTCTTTAATTCAGCTCTCTCTCTCTTCCCTTTCACTCTACCCTTTTATCCAAAACCCACTGCTGTGTGCTTATACTAGAAGGTTAGGGACTAACATACCAATTTCCATGCCAAGCATGTAATTTACTGATAAAACTCTGTAAACTTTTGCAGACCCTCTGAATTTTGCCGTTCCTTTTGACCATGAGCATCAAAGAATCTTGGGTGTTCCCTTCTCCTTAAGGGTGGAACACCATATTCTCACAGCTTCAGGTGCTTGCTATATGGCATAGATCACTTTTTTAAACTATATAAAATTTTTGTGTGTGTATGTGTATATATATATATACATATATATAAAACATGTGTGTGTGTATGTAAAATCTCCTGGGCATCAGTTGACAATTTTAGAATTCCAATGCAGTCATACATCACTTTGCATTTTTAGAGCCCTGGGAGGTTTGTTAGTACAAGTTTCTGATGAATTTTCAGAGAGA